GACCCTTTATCAAAAGGGTTTCCTAAAACAGATTCCGTTTGAGGGACCTTTACGTGGCTCTGTAATTAAAACCAACTTTAAGCTTAAGTATGAAGTTTTTTGCTTCATTTCCCGGATTCAATTCGAAAACCAGTCAGCGTGAATCCGCTCCGTGTGATTTGTCTAGAGTGGTTTTGACTTGCTTCTTGGTTTAACCCAAGTAACGTGATGCGATGACATGCTTTCATGTTGTTAATAAAATGTTAAGTAAACAGAATACAATCAGAAATGCAAAAACTCTTTACACAGGAATCTTACATTGGGCATGCGAAGTATCCTTACACAGGAATCTTCATTAAGACTGGAATGGGAAGAATCCTTAGAAAGGAATACAGCAAAAACCCTCCATATCCTAGTGTCCACGTGGCTCTGGTCACATGGGCACGAGGCAAAAAGGGGAAAAAGTTGAAAGGAAACGATTAATAAGCTTTGAAATCTAAGTTATTTCCTGTAAACAAGTAAGCCATAAGCGAAAATATGGAACAGCAATAAAGTAATCTGATTGGTTGGTTTTGGTTATTGGCCTTGACTGGACTAACTTGGTCATGTAATAATTAAACTTACTCCATTTAAATAATGCTGATTAGAAGAAAATATCTCACTTGGAATAAGGACTCCTTCATAATGTTTGAAACCAGCTGGTCCCTCAACATATCTATCACGCAAACATGTTTTTCCAACATGAGAATCACCTGTTCAGGAATAATTTAAAGCTTAATTAAAACCTTAAAGGACAAGGGAGGCTACTAGAAATCATATTTCAGTTAACCACTGAGATTTATGGAAATTACTAAGATTTGAAGAAAACGCGCGGCAATACAAAGAGAATTTTCCCTACCAAAATGGAAGAAAACAGCTAAAAGTCATGGCCATTTTTCAAAAATTACTCCAAAAAAGAAATGTCAGCCACCACGTTGTGATAGATCAACAAACTTGCAATTATCCATGTTTGGCTTTTTCCTGCCCAGTTTGCACAAACCTAACTAAATCCTTTGTATTGATAACCGCATTAAACAAAAGATTTGGTTAGTTTTATACAAATTGCTCAGAAAATAACAAAACGTAAAAATTTGTGCAAGATTTATTAACTTATGTCCCAAATGACTCACACCATTTTTGTGTCTTTATTTAATTCAGTAGCTAATAATATTGTACTGCATATACCGATGTGGTCTGTTATCTGCTGTAGCTTACAGTTCCCATAAACAAGAGTTAACTACCTTCCTTAGAACTGCATAGAAACTACATGTAGTCCAACACAGGCAGCCACTTCCCCAAAGGCAGTTATTCAAAGTGCCCAACAGTTCCCCAGTTGACCAGGCAGAGGTAAACATGTATATATGTTGTAGTTTAAAATGTTTTTTTGGTCAGAATAATTTATAGGTCAGGATGATCTCAAGCTAGTCTGATTTTCATCAAAGGGGATGGGGGAGTCAAGGACCAATAACTTATTAGACCAACAAATATAGGAAAATTTGCAAAGATTGCTTGCATGGCCAAGTGGAGATGAAAGTGGACTACAAAATCAGAGATCAGGTGTCCGAATCTAGGTGAGTACAAAATAAAAACGATCTGGGAGGTTGATATGGGATCCTGGCAGGGTAGAGTCTGGGGGTGGGGGACTTTCATATAGTAAGGATGTGGTGCTTGTCGTACATTTCAGGGGTTGAAAAAGTGGTTTTGGTACCTCTTAGGGTGTTTAGCCTCAAAAAGTACACAGCGGGAGCTTAGATTATGTTTCCTATTAAGGTAATTATTGAGCCAAAAAAATGTGACAGGGGATATTGTGTTGTTTTAGAATTGATACCTCTTAAGAGTGAAAAAAACTCCACGCTCAAAAATTAGGATCTTGGTACCCCTTAGGGAAACTTCTTTTCAAAATTTTCGACATTAGCACCCCTGTCGTTCTTATATTTCCCCGCTCACTCCCAACGTGGGGTATGATTAGGGGCAGTCTGGGAGGTGGGTGACGTGCATGTTATTTAACAACTAGATTCTATGTTGCCATGTGTCTGTTCAGTAACAGAGCACAGATGACGTCAAACTGTGGTAAGAACAAGAAAGTGGCACACAAGGCAATAGCTGAGTGTGTCACTGATGTTCTTACCATAGTTTGACGTCTTCTGTGATCTATTACTGAACAGACACATGGTAACATGGAATCTAGTTACATGTATTTTATATAATATTAAAGCTGAAAAACTATACAGAAAAGCTTGTTTATTTCAAAATTTTTCAACACAACAGTCATAACTCGAAAGCCAGGCCTTTGTCCACTTTGACAAACAAGAAAAAAGCAATTTGACATAAGGTTATGTCTCTACAAAATGGAGCAGGCTGATTGGTTGCTATGCGTAGCTAAGAGATGTGATTGGTTCAGGGAAATTTAACAAATTGACGCCAGTTTTTCATGCGTCTATCCTGTTATTGATCATGAATTTCGTCATAATATTGTCAAAGTGGCTGTGGATCCGCAGACTACTTTAACAATGTTATGACGAAATTCATTGTCAATAACAGGACAGACGCATGAAAATCTGAGGTCAATTTGTTTTTTTACGATAACAAATTGTCAAATTGTCCGCCCTTGCTCGTTGACGCATCACGTAAATTATAAATTCACGTGTCCATCCGCAGTTATCGCAAAACATGGCACTGTCAAACTTGAGTCAAATGTCGCTTGTCATGGAGTAGAAAACTTACAGCAGAAGTCGAATCAAATTGCAAAATCTACAACACAATTACCGGTAAGTGGAAAAAATCAATTCAGCTTTTGTCATCACAGCACCCCTGTGAGCCATAAAAAAACCTGGACATTGCCTTGAATATTGTAGGAGTTGAAAGAGCTACACAGAAAACTTGCGGTTACAGACAACATCAACACATCAACAACATCGATTTGAGCTTCAAATGAAAGGAGTGTTGGTAATGGTGGAAATTTGTGTCCTCTGTGGTTGGTGATTATCAAGTGCATTTGAGATGATCTTGGAGATATTTTCTATATTTAGCTTAGCTGCAATACAGAATGCCGTGAGCATGTAGTGAGCTGTAACTTTGCTTTACCTTGAAATAATAATTTCAAGCCCGATTTAGTATTTTGTTTAATTATAGCCTGAGTATTTTTCTGAGTCATTTTCATCAGAGAAACGCGTTTTTCTTTCTTTTTCCTGCCTCTCGAACCTGTTTACAGCCTTAACAAGACTTTTTCTACATTTTTCTTCGCCCAGTCAGGTAAAACATTTCTTTATCTAAATTCTTGAACTCTCCACCATTTTAAAAATCAGAGGGAAAATGTCTGTAATTTGACGGCGTCAACTATGTGTCTGTTCTCTAATAGATCACAGGTGAGAACCAAAAATGTGAGAATAATTTGACTTAAAATCTTTTTAAGAACACCAAAAACATGAAGAAATAAATAAACTGATTTGAAAAATCAATTACCTATTGGTTTAAAAACCAAATTAGCCCAGGTTGAAATCACTCTTGTCTAAACTACATTTTAATTAATTACAACATAATTATACATGTACACCCTTGCTTTCAGTCCTCCTTGCATCAAGAGGCATTGTGAGGGCAAACTATCTTGCCTAAGAACAACACAATGTCTTAGCCACTTAACATGGACCAGTCAGCCCCAACTCACTACCACCCAGGCTACTCTCAAGAGTGTAAAACATATTTTGTCATGCATTTTTTCACTGGCTTGGTTTTTAGCTTCCTTTGCTTAATTTATTTATAATATATAAGATATGATACAACAAAGAGTATAATTGAACCCTAACTGACACAACCTTAACCATTTCAGATTAAACTGAATGGCTTAATTTGAAAGGTACACCACGTAACAATTATATATCCTGTAAACAATAACATTAATAAATTGCAACAAACACTGTGAGCACTCACCCAATAGTATCACTGTATAGAACACCATTGGACAGAGCAAGCATCAGAATGGCACAAGAACTTTGAATGTGTTCTTCAGGACACAAATGTTGTACAACTGAAACTGTAGAACTTTCACCTAGAAATACAATGCAAACAGAGAGTATTCTCTATATCTATTTATAAAATTCACTGCTACTTTTGAAGGAATGGATCACATGAAAAGACAGGTCACATGAATGGGCTGCAAACCTCAATACACGCACAAATTATGCCTTAATTCTGTAATTTTTTATACCCTTCTGTATCATTTTGAAAACAGAATGACACCAACTGGTTACATCTTTTGATTACTTGATTTTAAACTTGAACAACAAAAATTGCATATTCATAAATTTCACAAGTCTTATTCAATGATCCTGTTCGATCTCACCACTGTAACCACCTGTGTAGATTGGCTACCTAAATTTATTTACCACTAAGTCTAACTGTTGACAACAGTGTAACTCCAACAACTCCATCATTATGACCACCTTCAGGTTGTCATTACATCTTCTTGTATTTTGGCCTGTCATGAACAAAGTTCAGTCATTTCCTTTTATACATGTAACATAGCTACAGTGAAACCTGTGTTAAGTGGACCCTATATTAAGTGCAGGTCTCCCTCTAATAAGTGGACACCAGTTTTGGGTCCCTAAATTTTCTTCCAACATTACTGTAAAATAAACCTGCATTCTAATTATCATGGTCCTTGATTATCAAATTGCAGTGATTTCAATCATTACTTTATGACTATGAAATTTATCAGCTGGCTATTCACGAATTTTCTTAGATCTCTCAAAAGGTAACAAAGAAAGAAAAAAATCAGTGATATTGCCTGGGAAAATAAAGAAAGAAAAAAAAAAGAATGAAAATGAGAATCCGATTATACTTGCTTTGCTGATCAGACAAGAAGCCGCATGAGGATCATGAATAACTTCATGAATGTTTCAAAGGTGTTACACTGTACATTCCCTCGTGTATTCTTTTACTGTTGCATTTTGCCAGTGGGCCTCAACTTTAACTTAACCTACCAATTAAAACCTCAAATAAGAGGCATCAAAATTGTCACTGTTCACAGGTGATCCATTTTCCAAGTAGAGTGGCTCATAGCCACCTTGATGGAGATTCAGAGGGGCTCCTAGGCCTTAGTTGTTGAGATTCGGAGGAGGTCTTGTTTCCTAGGTCTTAGATCAGGACAGAAAGTTTGTAACAAACCCCAACCTCCACCCCCACGCCCCCCTAACGCCCCCCCCCCTACGCCAGACAAATTATTTTGTCCTTGCTAGACAAACCATCTGCAAGTTATGTGTTGACAGGTTTTTTTGTTAAACTTTGACAAAAAGTTTTGTTCTCAGAGTGGATCAACTCCAAGTAAGTTTTCAAGTTTTAGCTTCATGTGTTTTTAAAGTAAACAACACATAATACAAGTTAGTTTTAACACTTGAGTAAGTTAAGCTTATGTAAATACCTAGCAAATAACAAAACTCATCCAAAGCGAGCAGATCTCGGCTACACGAGCTAATTACTTTAATAGCTTTTGTTTCATGTTGGTCGTAATCTCTCTAGCCTGCGAACAGGCTCCCGGTGACCCCGATCGCTTCGCTCTCCAAATTCTTCTGTTTGGCGCTCGCCGAATTTTTTTTCCGTCCTCGCCGGGAGCCTGTTCGCAGGCTAATGATCTCTCTGGCCTTCAAATAACAGTCTCGACATCTCACTTTATTAAGATTCTGGAATGCAATTTGCTGCTTATGTTATTTAACAAGCGTGCGTATAAATACGAGCTGAGTTAAACAAGTATAAATACTTTAAGGACTTCAAACAC